AATGCTAAATGCATGCTAAATTTGAAGAATTTTAGTAAAGCAAAATATTTTATCACACAGGTTTCCAGTTTATCTGCGGTTGAATGTAAGATAAAGCCTTGTAGCAAGTCTGTCAAGGTCAGAAGTTCAGAGACAATTTTTAATCCCAGTCTGCTTCTTCCTTAGCCTGCCTGAGCTCTTACACTAAGCTACAGGCACACTTCTGTCAGTTCAGGATGTGCCTCCACCCCCCACCCCTATTGCACTTTTTTCCTGAATATAGCCTTAAAAACAATCAGGCTGTATCATCTTGTCCCCCTCCGCAGGTCTTGACAGCCAGAGCTTAGCCCTCATTATCAGCATGTGCATGTGCAGAGGGCTGCTGACGCTGTGTGTGTCGCTGCACACTGACGTCAGCAGTGCCCCGCTCCTCTACATGCAAATGCCCTTCCTGTCTGGCTGCCATTGATACCGTTTCTCTGCCCTCCCCACGCACTCTTATTAGCATGTTTTTATCAGTTCTAGCACCTCTCGCACCACACAGCCCAGCTAATATGACACACAGGTGTAACCAGCCGGAGGCCTAATGGCCCGCACAGTTTTATTGACTCCTGTTAGGAAATATTTATGACCTGTGAGAGGAGTTATTTTCACGTTTCATGTTATGCCATGTTTATCAGTATTTGCCAGTGTGTTTTGATGTGTGTTCTTATCTGTACAGCTCGCTTTCTAGCCATCTTCACACATGCAGAGAAGCTCAAAAACTCTGGAGACGTCGGTTGGCAGCTCCCTAGTACAAACTCCGTGTGAGAACAATGCAACATTATCCGGATAATTCACAGAGAGCAAGTGGATATCATATGTCCTGCATTGCCCGTAGTTGACTGTTAAAAATGCGTGCATCTGATAATTTCCCTCCTGGAAATAAAATAATCCTCATAGCCACGTTTATAAGGTCATGCACACAGTGTTACTCAGAATCACATATAGGCGATATGTTCAGTTGTTAATGTGTCACTGCTCCTACGTAAAAAATGTATTGATTAATTAAATTAATCAGATAAGCAGGTGGTCTGACATAATCGGCATCATGTCAGAAAAAGTCAAATTAAGCTGCAAGCATGTTTAGTTTAGTTTGATCCAAATCTAGTTTTTAATTAGCTTGAGTAAAAACAAAACAAAACTCTACCACAATGTGAAAAACTGTCATAGCACTTACCTTACCTATTACCTATATTACCTATGTTTATTATCGGTGCATTACTGTTTCATAAGGATAAACATGTACGTGTTATATCCATCCTGCACAATACTTTTGACGAGTATATCTGCAATGCTTGCACAATGGTGAAAGAGGTGAATGGCATTTCACTTGTGTTTTGCTGTGTCTGTGCGGCTACTTGCGTAAAGGTGTCTACATGTGCTGAATTGTGCTTCTTTCCCCATGCTATGATTCCGTGACGTCGCTGGAGACAATATCTCGTGCTCATTGAAAGATTTTTATCGCGTCACGTGCACAAGGAGCACGTGCCTCTTGACACAAGCTTTACCGGTTGTGGCGCTAGCAGTGATTCATCCAGCTATTCCTGTTTCTGAGCTTAGCGAGAATCACGGAGGAGCCCGTGCTGTTGTGCGTTATGCGCTCAGGTAAGGCAGAGGAGAAGGAGAGAAGTGAAGAGACTAGTGTAACGGTGAGGTTTTGGCAGCTTTTGTACACATGTTTTTTTTTTTGTCTCTCTCTCTGTAGTTCTCAGCCCTTTACTCTCCATCCCGGCTTTAATGGCATCCGCTTCTTCAGCTTTTCCCCATCTCCCTCTCTGTTTCGGCCCTTCTATTTCTCTCTGTAAACAAGCAGAAGGCCAACAACTCTGTCCTCAGGCTGTCTCCCGCCATCTCGTTGCCATGGTGTATGGAGCATTGTTTGCTGGCCTCTATGTCGGGTTGCCATGGCAGGGCTTATTTGCCATATTAAATGTTTGGCAGCACTGTACAGATGCTGATGACAAACACCCATCATCCCACTTTGATCAGTGAAACAGTCAGTGATTAGAGGAGATGGCATGGATCTACTGATCTATTTATCAAGCTTAGTAATAGATTACGGTATGGACATAATCAACAAATGATGCCGCAGCTGGCAAAAAAAAATAGTATAAAATAGCTAGTTTTGGCATTTAAGTGCCAAAACGCAAACTTTTTGCTTTTCAGCGTTCCTCTGCTCAGTCCTGTGTAACAGTAATATTTCAGAATGATAAAAATTTGCTTTTGATTTTGCTGATTGTGACCTAATTATGTCTGAAGGTATCATGGCTGCATGTGTGTTTACATGATCAGATGAGACTCATGCTGCTTCTGTGTGAGGCATACTCCCATGTGGTTCTCCCTCTTGTGGAGCGGGGTGAGACTGCATGCTGGCGCTGCAAAAGGGATGTTTAATGTCTGGATTTTTACACATGAAAGTTCACTTTTTAACACACATTTATCCAGTTCGTAAGCTTCACGTTGTGATTTGTTATGCTATCCAGAAATGCATATGCATATATTTTATAAAGTGCATGGCTGAAATGTTAGGGAAAACGGAAAATGTGCAAGAGGATAAATAAATTCAAATACTTACAAATTGCTACATTTGTATACGCTGTCATAAAGGTTTAGGTTATTTCATGTCCTGAAACATACTGTTAAACAACTTGTGCAGCACTTTGACTGTGCAGCTCTGTAATATGTGAGAGCTCCTTTGTAGTTACCAACAGATAGCGCTTCTAATTGACGTAGTTGAGGCTTGATAAGATCTCATAGCTCTATTGTAGACGCACCTTGGTGGTTTTCGTGGTTTGCTTTTCTGCTTTTGCTTTCAGTGAGAGGCCTCTGTCTGCCGTCACTC